ACTCTCCCCCCCCCCCCCCCCCCCAAAACAGCTAGCAATCCAAAACAGTCCAGTAAAGCCTGAGCGGTGGGTGTTGCTTTCTGACACACTTCCGGTGATGTCAGGAGGTGTGGCATATGCTAATGAGTTATGCTAATGAGTTATGCCAATGAGCTCCTGCACCTCTTTGTCTACGAAATGACCCCTGAATAGAACTGTGATTGCAGAAATCTGAAGCAAGGTAAAGTATTAAGCGTGACATGTTAAACAACGCATTCTCAATCTGCGTGAGTGCACAGAGTCATTTCCAAGGCGGCAACAATGCAAAGTGTTTCACCTGTTGCTTGATATCCTAAAAATATGTCTGGTGTGCAGTCCCAAAGACTTGCAATTGCTGGGATTTAAAGCTGTGCATCGTTTTCTCTGGGTTGTTTCCACAGATCTCTAACCCAACTCCAAATATCCTGTTATTGCTGTTATTACGGATCATCAATACAGTTTAATTGTTTTTAAACAGAATACTTTTCATTGCTTGCTAGGTTTCATCTGTGTTAAAAGTGGGTGTTGATTTTTTTTAAACAGAAAAATGACCCCTAAATTTGCAAATCAACAAATCAATAAAATAAGTTTTTTCCTTGCCTGCAGAGTTGGGTTCTTTTCTGGGGAGTATTTGGAATTTGGGGGAGGGGGGATAAGATTCCCAAAGCCCTTATTAGTCATTTTATGTGTTGCTCTTAAGGTAACACTTCTTCCTGTGAACTCTTAAACTAAGTATGTTTTAAGGTCTTGTAACCTGTTGGGGGGTCCAGCAGGATGAAAAACTGGGCTACAAATGTTTTTAATTTTTTTAATATATGTGTGTATTTTTAAATTTATGTGTGACAAAGGTCAACACAACTTGTGACCCATCCAACCGAACACAGTCTGCTAACCATGCTCATGAGGGATTTGTAAGAGGAGCCATGTTGGGTCAGACTAAAAGTTCATCTATTGCACCGTCTTGCTTTCAACAGTGGCCAGCCAGATCCTTCCAGGGTCCTTACAAGCAGATCATGACAGCAGTTGCTCATCTCCAGTATGTAAGGCAAACTGTCTCTGAACATGGAGGTTCCATATACTTATGGCTAATAACTGTTGATGGCCCTCTGCTCCATGGTTTTGTCTAATAATACCTTTTAAAGTGAAAAAGCCAGTGGCCATTGCCCCATCTTGTGGCAGTGAGTTCCACAAGTGGCACGTTGTGTGAAAAAGCACTTTTGCTGTGAACCGGCAGCCCAAGCTTCATAGCATTCCTCCCTGAGTTCCATTATTATGGGAGAGGGAGAAACAGGTAGTCTCTTTCCACTTATTTTGCATCATGCATAATAATATAAATCTCATATCGTGTTTAGCCTTTAATAAAACCTTTTGTTTTTGTTGCATGTCTGTAGATCGCAAGATGTGCAGGCCTGATGTGGCATGCGGGAGAGTCAATGTGTGGGTCTACAAAGTGTATTTTGTCATGTTTTCCCTTTCCATCCTCTCCAGAGATTGAGGGCTGCTGTGCACTACACCGTCGCTTGCCTCTGTGAAGAAGTTGCAGAAGACAAAGAGATCCACTTTAGTAAACAAGCTATTGCTGCTATTTCTGAAATCACCTTCAGACAGTGTGGTATGGCTTTTCTGTGCATATTTATAGTTGTCCGTCGAAGCAATCAGCATTTTAATGCTTTTCAAATATAGAATTGGAATTGCAGATGTCCTGTAGCTGGCTTGATGACTTGTTTTGCTTTTCCTAGCACTAGAGGGAGTCCTAGACAAGTTCTGATAGATCCCTTATACAACAGGCCGAACATCACCTCCCTGCCCCCCCTCACATCTGACTTAACTGTTGCTTTTAACAGAGTATTTTGTATTCAGAGCTCTGTGTGTTCTATACATGCATGTGAGCTTTGGTATTTGGTGCAGAATGTGGCATATTTAGAACCTCATCAAACTCCTTTTAAAAAGGTTGTAGTCCTCTTTTTGTGTTTTTGTATTTTTTATATGTGCATATATATGCGTGTGTGCACCTGGAAGTCATGGTGACATCTGGTGACTGACCCCTGCTGGGGGCCTGGAGGCTATTCAGAGAGGTGGCTGAATAAAGCCTGCCCCTGCCTCCCAACTGCTGGTATTCCAAGGAGGCCTCCCATCCAAGTACTTGCCAGAGTCGACCCTGCTTAGCTGACAAGATCTGACAAGATCGGGCTTGCCTGGGCTATCCAAGCTCAGGACAGGTTCTAGTACTCTCGATGGGGAAGGAAAACTTGGAAAAGGATTTGCAGTGGGTGCTGGTAGCACATCTCAGGGTAGCTGAACGATGCCTTCTCTAGAACATTCCACACGCTCCAAAATCAGTTCGCTTTCTGATCTGTCATTCAGAGGGTCTCCCTATCCACTGGCTGCTTTGCCTGAGTCCTGCCTCCAACATTCAAAACATTTTGCAGTTCCTCTCCACCCCCATAGCCAGTCAGAACACAGAGGTTATTTGCATATGCAGCCTCATTGGCCTTTGCCTCGGAACGCAGAGGTCGTTTGCATATGCGACTTGATTGGCTTTTGCTTCTAACATTCTAAACAGTTTGCTGTTCTGAGGTAAAATGTATCCAATCTCCAGGTGAGGGCTGGAGATCACTCATAATTACAACTGCTTTCCAGATGGCAGAGATCAGTTCCCCTGGAGAAAATGGTGGGCTCTGTATCCTTATATGCTGCTGAGGTGGCCCCCGTATGACAGCCAATGTGATGTAGCAGTCAGGGCTTCAGAGCACGGGAGAGGCTACAGGTGTGTGGGGGGTGGAAAGCTGAATAGTGAGGGGGAAATAAAGGTAGGTTGATGATTGTCTGGGAAGGCGATAGGGTTGCCAACTCCAGGTGGGAAATTCCT